CTTTTCATACACTGTAACTGGTTTGTATTTATCAAGAATCGTCATATGTTGTTTTATCAAGTATATCTTATTAGAGGAATTTATATCAACATTTCTTGTGTTTGCAACCTTGTATGTTTATTGTATATGAATAGTTGTTTTTCTTTGATTTTTTTACAAGATTTGAAAATAGTGACAAATGGAGTAGATCTTATATCTAGCTACAAAGTTATTATTATTTAGATATTTAGATTATTCTAGAGAAGGTTTGGTCTTATTTGGACTGAAAAACTATAYGTAAAATGATGAGTGAAATTTAGAGTCTGCATCTAACATTTGTTAACAAAATTGATTAACTAAGCAAGAAGGGGGAAGGGGAGTGTCATATGGACTGGGCAATCAATCCCATACAACCTAAGTCAATGGCCATCCAACAGGCCTATGGTGATGGGGAAGTATGGCTAGGACATGATTATAGAGGGTCCTCTCTCACGCCTCCTGGGAAAAGTTCAGGCTTGATTACCTCCCTGAAGTGCTTATGCACCAATGTGCAAAGCATARGAAATAAGCAAGACGAGCTGGAGATCTGTGTGCGGTCCCAGCACCACGATCTCATAGGAATCACAGAAACGTGGTGGGATAGCTCAAACAATTGGAGTGCTGTCATAGAGGGCTGTGTATTCTTTAGGAAGGACAGGCTGGGAAGGCGAGGTGGTGGAGTTGCTCTGTATGTGAGAGAGCAACTGGAATGCATGAAGCTCAACCTGGGAGTGGATGAGGAGMGGGTGGAGAGSTTGTGGGTAAGGGTTAAAGGGCAGGCCAATGTGGGAGACACTGTGGTGGGTGTCTGCTACRGGCCACCTGAACAGGAGGAGGAGGTTGACGAGGCCTTCTACARGCAGCTGGAAGTTGCCTCACASTCRCAGGCCCTGGTTCTCATGGGGGACTTTAACTAGCCCGACATCAGCTGGAAAGACAGCACAGCAAGSCACAAATGGTCCTGKAAGTTTCTGCAGTGCGTTGATGACAACTTTTTGACACAGGTTGTGGAGGRGCCGACGAGGAGAGGTGGGCTACTGGACCTCGTACTAACAAATAGAGAGGGACTTGTTGAGGATGTGAAGGTGGGAGGCAGCCTTGGCTGCAGAGATCACGAGCTGGTGGAGTTCAGGATCCAGCGAGGAGGAGGCAGGGTACTAAGTAGCCTTGCCACCCTGGACTTCAGGAGGGCCAAMTTTAGCCTCTTCAGAGGCCTGCTGGGAAAGATCCCATGGGCTAGGGCTCTAGAAGGAWGAGGGGCCCAGGAGAGCTGGTTAGTTTTCAAGCAGCATTTCCTCCATGCCCAGCAACAGTGCATCCCTGTGTGCAAGAAGTCAGGCAGAGGGGGCAGGAGACCAGAGTGGATGAGCAGAGAGCTCCTGGCAAAACTCCAGCAGAAGAAAGCAGTATACAGAATGTGGAARAAAGGACAGGCCCCTTGGGAGAAATACAGGAATGTTGTCAGGCAATGCAGGGATGCCACAAGGAAAGCTAAGGCACATTTGGAACTGAATCTGGCAAGGGATGTTAAGAGTAACAAGAARAACTTTTTCAAATATATTAAGAACAAAAGGAAGGTCAGGGGGAACCTGGTCCACTAGTGAACGAGGTGGGTACCCTGCTTACAGAAAACACGGACAAAGCAGAGCTGCTGAATGCCGCCTTTGCTTCTSTGYTTGTCAGGGGCAGCCCTCTAGAATCCCAGGCCCTAGGGACACAAGAAGAGAGCTGGGGAGAGGAAGGCTTGCCCAGAGTAGAGGAAGAGTGGGTCAGAGAGCATCTAAGGAAACTCGACACCCACAAATCCATGGGCCCTGATGGGATGCACCCCAGAGTGTTATGGGAACTGGCAGATGTCATAGTCAAGCCACTCGCCATCATCTTTGGAAGGTCCTGGAGAACGGGGGAGGTGCCAACGTCACTCTGGCCTTCAAAAAGGGGCAAGAAGGAGGACCTGGGCAACTACAGGCCGGTAAGCCTCACCTCCATCCTCAGAAAAGTGATGAAATAGCTCATCCTGGCTGCTGTCTCCAGATATGTGGAGAAGAAGATGCTCAGGAGTAGCCAGCATGGATTCAGCAAGGGGGGTCCCTTGAATCCCCAGCAAGGGGATTCAGAGGGACCTGCACAGACAGGACAACTGGGCAATGAGAAACCTCATGAAGTTAAACAAGGGCAAGTGCAGGGTCCTGCACTTGGGGAGGAATAACCCCGGACACCAGTACAGATTAGGAGTGGACCTGCTGGAGAGCAGCCCCGCAGAGAGGGACCTCACAGTCATGGTGGATGACAAGATGACCATGAGGTAACAGTGTGCCCTGGTGGCCAAGAAAGCCAATGGGATCCTGGGGTACATTAAGAASAGCGTCTCMAGCAGGTCGAGAGAGGTGATTGTCCCTCCCTACACAGTCCTGGTAAGGCCACATCTGGAGTACTGTGTCCACTTCTGGGCTCCCCAGTACAAGAGGGATGTGGAGCTGCTGGAGAGAGTCCAGCGCAGGGCTGCGAGGATGATCAGGGGCCTGGAACATCTGCCCTATGAGCAAAGGCTGAGAGAGCTGGGCCTGTTCAGCCTGGAGAAGAGAAGACTGAGGGGGGACCTGATCAGCGTGTATAAATACCTCACGGGAGGCAGTGAGGAGGAGGGGGCCGGCCTCTTTTCAGTGGTGGCCTGCAACAGGTCTAGAGGAAACGGCCAGAAATTGAGGCACCAAAAGTTCCACAGGAACTTGAGAAAACACTTTTTGACAGTGAGGGTGCCAGAGCCCTGGAACAGGCTGCCCAGAGAGGTTGTGGAGTCTCCTTCTTTGGAGATCTTTAAAACCCGCTTGGACTCAGCCCTCTGCCACGTGCTCTAGGTGACCCTGCGTGAGCAGGGGGGTTGGACTGCGTGACCTCTGAGGTCCCTTCCAACCTTAAACGTTCTATGATTCTATGATTCTGTGATTGATTAGTAAACAGCCATGTTTCACAGTCAGTTAAATTTCACCTGGTCATGAATACATTCATTGAATACATACAACTCAGATAAAACTGATCTCACTGGTATACTACATACACATATAGATGTGCAACTGAATTATTGATACAGGGTTTMTATAAAGATAGGATCTCATTCACACATTTTACCGACTAATCAGCCTCAGTGTTAGAGAATTCTGTTTATGAGAAATAATGTTCTTCACTGGAATTTGATTTGTCTATTTTCATTTTTTAGCTAGCATATATGATATTTTGGTAGTGGTTCAAGAAAATTTCTATAAGAAATCTCATTCTATCTATATCAAAAAGACTATATAAATCAAGTTGGTATACAGAACATAACCCTAAAACTATGTATATTAGCAAGTGTTTAATACTTTAACAACAGTTAAGCATATTGTTTTATTTCTAGTTACTTTTTTTGGACCTTGAATTTTGAGGAGATAGTGACATTTAAAACAGAACAATAAAAGAAAAACATAAAATAAACCTTTAACTAAATGCAGATGTAGAGCTTTCCATTCTTCCCAAATTAAGTAGTTTAAACTTATTATAAGACCACAGGAGACTAAATATACTGGTCAACTTTTTAGAAAATGAAAGTAAAATTCATTGAATACACTTCATAATAAGAAAATCTAAGTATCTGAATATTTAAAATAGTTGGGGGAAACTAGTGTCTTCTGTAACCATACAAAAAGCCTGAATTCAATCAAACCAGCAATATTTCCCCTTTGTCTGTCATAGGAAAGTGGGTTGTGAAATGACAAACCTTTAGATTTACAAAGCCCATAATTTAGAAATTTTTATTACTAAGTTGTGATACTGATTTCTTATGTGACATATTCACTCTTGATATACAAACAGAGCATTTGTAGTTAATAAAGGTTTTTTTTTTTTTTTTTTTTTTTTCATTCTGGATTAAAAATGCTTTAGACCATGTTATTTGTTTAGTTACCGTTTCATTTCTAAATTAACTTAGAAATGGATTTTTTAAGCACAATAAAACATAACATCTGGTGTGATAGATAGATAGATAGACAGACAGACAGACAGATAATATCTTTTTTTTTTGTCAAAAGACAGATTTATTAGCAAAGAGAAGTGTGGGAAAAACTTTTGCTGTGATTTATTTTGCTTCTGTAAGYACAGAGTATGGTATGTGTGTGTATGTATGTGTATATATACATGTATGCATGTGTAAACAGAAAAAGTATTTTGAGAAATACACTGAATATTTATTAAATAAGAAAAATACAATAAGTACAAATTCATAATCTTGGTAAGTTTTCAATTTCTAGATTTTTAAGAGCATGAAATGTGGTATAATATGAAMCAGAGCTGCTTTTGGACCAATTTCATATTTGAGATTGACTCAACCCTGTTTTCTCTTTTATTTTCAATTCAGTATTTTAAATGTCTTTTTTGCTTATACACGAAATAAGTTTAAAAGGAGTATTGYCTGTGTTTTCTTGATCTCTTTAGTTTGTATAAGACTCATTGATAATTTTATTTGCACTAGTTCCACTTGAAATTCAGTTTGTGGCTAATAGTTAATGAGATAAATAAAATGTGAAATCATTGATAATAGTGAGTAAGGCATTATTTCTTCAAAGTTACAGAATGGAATTACAGAATGGAATAAATCAATTGCATTTCTTATGCAATAATTTATTCAACAATAATTTGATAAATTTTTAAATACTTTTTTTGTTTTATATTCTTTTTCAATAGCACATGAATTTTGTTTTTTGCAGCAATCACTTTTAACTGAAATAACTGCATTGTCACAGAATATGGTACATTTTTTCAAGTATTTTCAATTTGTTCTTGACATTTTATGTTTATGTGCAGTTTGCATCTTTTTTGTTTTTCAATTTCAAATGTAACAGATTTGGACATTTTTGTAACTTTTTTTTTACTATTTTTTATTATTTTTGAGAATCTGCTGTTTTTGAATTCTCTTTTTCCCTTTATTCTCCTCCTCACTCTGACCCCAGGAGCCAACACAAAGAAAAGCGCAGATGATATAACCAGTAATGATCGTGGTGAAGATGAAGGTATTTTTTGTTTTTTCAAAGCTCAACCCTGATGCATGAACATATATATWTTTTTTTATTACTATTACTATTACCATTGTAATCGCTGTTATTTCAACGTGATTTTTAGTCCCTTATTTTCAAAGGCACACTTGAGTGTGCTTCTTTATTTTCTTCTTGTGTAGAAACTACTTTGATTGTTTTTCTTTTTTAAATCAAAATTAACATATAGATGACTACAGTTTCTCTGTGACGTAAGTGTAAAGGTTATCCCTAAATATATGTGGAGTAGTAAAATTATTATTTACAACCACATGCTTTTTCAACCTTATTCTTTCTTAGGATGAGAAAAGGAGTTTGAAACATGCATGCGCTCTTTGCCCTCTTACACATTTTCTAAATTCACCTGCTTGAAATTCATGTAATAGTTTACATATATCTTTCTTTCCTTTCACTTCCACTCCTTTCCCTATGCACATAATCTTTGTTGAATGCAGTTACATTGTGCTTTGCTTGTGTTATTTATATATATATATATAAATATATAAATATATATATATATATATATTTATCACAGGATGTGGTTTATTTTGAGGACACAAAAGTAAAGAAAGGTGTTGATTTTTTTTTTTTTTTTTTTTTTTCCTATAATCAGCTATCCTTTGGGATACATTCATTTTGGCTTTGAACATATTCCCACTGAAATCAATGACAACCTTTTTCATTTATTTACTTCAGAGATGCATTGGATTCCCTGAAAGGAAATTATAAAGTTCAAAGTGAAGTACTCAAAAAAAGTTTTACAAGGAAATTCTTTTTTTCTTGCTTTTGCACAGCAAGCTATTTGGAGTACACTGAAATTGAAAGAAGTTAGGAAATCTTCCTCTCATCTCACCCTTCCATTTCATTAAAATTACATGGAAAGTTCATTTTCCTTTATATTATTATCAAATTCAGAAAAAAATATTTTAAAATTAATTGAGTGGCTAACAATTTGGGCCCATTTATTGTTCCATTTATGGAGTTATCCATCTCTTATTGCTCTCATGCCTGACCAATCCCAAGTGTTATTCCATGCATTTGTTCTGTTTTCTTTTATCTGACATCAGTTCAAATAACTTTGAACCATTTGTCCTCTCTATTTCCCTTAGAATCATCTATACGGTAGTGGAGTCATCTTTTAATCTCCTCTTTTTGTGAGAGTTCAGCTCTACTGGAGCTACTCTATCTCTATAAAATGCAGTAATAAAATACCTAGTCTTTTATTCACACTATTTGCCCTCTACTATGACACCTTTATTGTTGAAGTACACTATTTCTTATTTTTGTTATAACACAGGAAAGACTGTGAATAGTGCTCAAAAGCGACCCTGCTATTACCTGAATATCTTCTTTTTTCTTCTTCTGTGAACTACTTTTTTTTTTTTTTCAAATTGTGCTATTATCCTTTGCTATATCAACTTTTGTCATTAATTGTTAAGCAAAAGATAAGTAAAAAACAAAACCAAAATTGCTTAAAAAACTTAACATAGGTACACTATTATGAATATATCATTATTCATACTTTTTTTCCAAAATTGTAACATTAGGATTGGATGATTAGCATGGGCATCCATTTCATATCTAATCACATAAAAAATGGAGCTCAATTCTTTTATTGAACCAAATCATATTTCAGTTAAATGCAAAAAGTAAACTTCCCATAGACTTCAGCACTGAAAGACTGAGTCCTGTAATGTAATAAGGAATAATAAAGAAAGATTATATACAACAGATCATGACATAAGGCATTTGAAGGAAAAGATCATTCTGTAATACTAGTAATTGTAGCATACATCTTTTGAGGTCTTCACTGAAACTTCACAGAAAGCAGCAAACTCTTTCATGTAGTTTGTGGAAAATATAGATAATGTAACACATGTGTACATATGCAGTACAAGTAAAATATGTATAATTTTATGAAAAAAAGGGCTTCTGTTAGAAGCCTCAAATTCTTGAGAAATAGATAGATGTAGATTTTGAGTTTCATCATATTTTTCTTGCATTCAATTGGCTATAGTTAATAAGATACACACAATATGAGAAAGATAAAAAGTGAGCCATGTGATATGGTCATTTATAATTTACTTTTAAATAACCTTTAAGTGGTTTACAGTGTAAAATACTATATTTTTTAGAAATAAATATACATTGAAATTTTCTTCATAAGACATTTTGCCTCATTGCTGGTCAGGCTTTTGGTAGGTTAGAGAATTTCCTAACAAATCTGAAAGGAGGGAAGATTCTAGTAAGGCTTTCAAACCCAAGTTTCCTAGTCATCAACTGCAACCTTTTCTTCCCGCACACTTTTTTCCCTACTCAGAAGAGAACTTGGTTTTTGTTTTGAAAATTAGGAAAAAAGATATATTAACACAGTACTAAATGTACCTCTATAGTCCAAATCATTTTTTTTCCATCTTTATGCACTCTGAATTATAAAARTATACCAACAATTTCATTTAATTTTCTTTTGTAAATTAACACCCAGCTATTTATCTCTCTGAAAAGAGTGAAGAGCTTTTCTGTATGCATAAAACACTTACCGTACAATTCAGGGTCTTAGATTCAGGGCAAGTTCTCTAGCACCTAACTACTTTGACAAGAAAAAAACTACAACACCAAAGAAAAGATGTTACATGAATTAAATATGCCTGGACCATGAATGCAGTTAAATTCTCTTTGTTAACTCCTAGGCTGTTTWAAAAAAGGAATGATTTTCTATGTTTATTTTTTGAAAAGAACAATTTAGTTCTGCAATACTATCTGTTACTGAATATAGGAAGTACAATTTCATCAAATATATCTCACTTGTTCTTAGTGAGAGATAAGAAGGTACAGCGTTATTGTAATTTTATTGTCAAATGAACCATTATTTGTAAATTGGTGTGTACATAAATAGAGATAGAGATATTCTAAAAATGATCCATGATCTGATTTTACTCCTCAGACCTTGTATTTACTTTCAAATTAAAATTCTTTTAAAATTGAAGGCATTTCTATTTTTCCTGAGAATATTTTGAATGAAATAACAGGCAGAAATGTTCAACCAACAAGCCTGTTAAGCTTGCGGATGATCCTGAACTGTACAGGCTAACTGATTAAAAGTACTGGTGGTGAAATGGGTAGTGCAGGAAATAACTAAGAGTTTTTATTAGCATTTTTGTATATAACTAATGTCATTTTTCATTATTTTTTTATTACTTTGTTATGTTTCCTTACTTGAATTTTTTCAGACATTCACGATCAGAACAGCAAGAAACCAGTTATGGTCTACATCCATGGTGGATCTTACATGGAGGGTACTGGCAACATGATTGATGGGAGCATTCTGGCAAGTTATGGAAATGTCATTGTTGTCACCCTTAATTACAGGCTGGGAGTTTTAGGTAAGTAGCTCTTTTGTTCCTCATAAAATGTATATTGCAGTATCTAGTTGGCATTTCCACTAAATGAGTACTTGCAAAGAAATATTTGATTGCTTAAWATATTCACTGATCGATCACAGATCCTTTTAAGGGACTGTGGACYAGTTTTGTTTTTAAAACAGAGCATTTTTTTCTGGTGGATAACTTGATTCTATTACTAGTATTGATTTTGAATTCTGTTCAATATTTCATAGAAACTGAGCTAGACTACATCTTCACTTCCTTTTGACAAGTGTCTTTAGCTTAAACAAAAACGACTGTACTTTTATAGCTATACTTGTTTATACTAATTTGTCATGTTGTCCTTGGCTCAATGATTTAACCAGTGTTGATTACTAATATCTTTTACATTAAAATCTCCTCCATTCCATTCAAATAAAGAAGAAAAAGTAAATAAGAAAGAGTATTTAGCAATTTCAAAATCATTCATAATGGTATGAAATGGAAATACTATCTCTTTGTATTATTTTGAATGTTTTTAGGGCAGAAGATATAGAAATAGTATGGAAAAAACAGACTATATACACTAATAGAAATTTGTTACGAGTGAAATGTAATAAAGGGTTTTCAAGGAGTGACATACATTATCTTTCTAAATATCAGGAACTTCATAAACGTGATTTATAATACTGAGTGACACTATTATCCAATGGAGCAGCATCTCTTGACATTGCAAATAATTCACTGTCAATATTAGATTAAATAACAAAATGCTAGACTAGAATGCATTTTGCTTGAATGTTCATACTTGCAGCATTTTAGATATACAAAGTTAGATWTAGTAATTTCTCAGTGTCTTTCATATAAAACCCTTTTATAAAGATTTTAAAACTTGTTTTATTGATAGAAAAGCTGTCCTGTATTATTGGTATGTATTACTTTGGAACTAATTAAACATCTTTTGCTGGGTTTATTCATGTGATTAAAAAAWTTAAACAATTTTCTATTTCATCAAATACTAACTTTTTTTCTTGTTCTTGATTTTTGACGTGAGTGTTTTGTCTAAGAGCCAAATTTAAACTTAAAGCTAGCGTAGAAAAAAAGGTCCTTAAAGGTATTTGYACTTACAATTTTGATACAGAGATATACAAGGAAGAATGAAGACTTTCATTCTTCTGACTCCATTCAAGAATGGAGTCAATTCAAGAATGGAGACTTCAGGATACTTTTTATCAGCACATATATAATCTTTCACAAAATGGCTTGGTTCTATGTTAAATAAATTGTAGTGGTGATAGTTACATTTCTGCTAAAAAGATTAGTGAAAGGATTTCTTTAAAACTTTGTGTTAGGTCCTTAACCTAACACAAACCCCACTGAAGCATTCAGGTGATTTTAAGTAGTTTATGAAGCTGTTTCCTTATTTAGCTGTTATATATCAATCTAAAGGGGGAAAAAAAAAAGCGGTATTTGAATTTATGAACTCCTTTTTTTTTTTATGTACTTCTATTGAAAACAAACCAAAAACAGGAGAAAGAGACAATAATTTTATATGTCATGTTGTTTAGGAAAGAAAGAAATGATGCAGAGATATTCTGTGAGAAACTGCAAAGTAATAGCTGTTAAGATTTCAATGGGTTGAAATCTTATAGATATCTTATATATAATATATAGAGAGATATCTTGATATCTTATAGATCAATAAATATGCTTCTCAAGAGTGGTAATTATAAAATTTAAGGTGCTACAGAACGTATTCTTTGCTGCAGAAGATCTATGTATGAATTAGAAGCCAAAGGATACTCGAAATATCAATATACTATGCACTTAAATGAATCAGTGCAATTAGATTATTGTTAGATTCTATACTTTGGAAAATGTTTGAGTAATTCCAAATATTTTTTTTTTACATATTCTGTAAGGAAAATAWTGAAAGACAGGGAATATGTTTTAGGTAAACAAGCAGATGGAAAACAGATCTGTTCATAAAGCAGAGTTAAAAATAGTATAATTAGTGACATTAGTGACACATACTTTAAAAGTTATCCAAGTTTTTTTTTTCCTTTTTTTTTTTAGCTCTGGAAAATATTGAGACAAATACAATTACAGAATTTGTTTGTAGGGCATGTGTTCATAGTGTAAGCTATTACAGAAATAGCTTATGCAAAATCTGAAATTTTGTAGATGGACAAGATTTATATCTACTACTTCTAGTTAATTATCAAGTCTGTGTAATCTTATTACCGTTATCACATCCTGTGATAGGGAGTATACACTTCATCTGTCAGAGATAATAATAAGCTTTTAAGTCTATCTTTCCTTCCTCTGGAAAATTCTCACCTGAATGCACCTGAATCATATATAGTATTATTATTATTATTATCATAAACATAAGTCCTATAGTTGTACTACATTAAATTCTCTTCCTGCCCAGCTTGTGTCTTTAACAGCAATTTTCTTTAATAGAAAGAAAATCTATGAGGACAGCATAGATAATCATTATATGACATTAGCCAGAAAAAAATTRTTTTGAAATCCTGAGATTAAATTGATAACAGTGATTACATGATSTTTAAGAAAGCCTGGATTTTAGCAATGAATATTAATAGATGAAGGAAAATGAAAACTGTTGAGGACCACTTACTGTACCTGACTGTCTTTCATTGAGACAGTTTGGCCTCCAGAAATATCTGTGCAGCCATGACATTTTTATCAAAGTAATAGAATATAAACTATATGGGCTCTCATTTTTACTGCGTTCTGTTGTCATTAATTTTTCATTGTATTTAATGAAAATTGTGCTTATCCTATAAATTATGATTTGCAAAAAATAGCTGATAATACACAATGAATTCAATTCCATAACATGCAGAAATCTATACCCAAGTGTCATTTCACCCTCTGTTTCTGCTTTGAGCCCTGTCGAGGATGATGTTTTCTGTAATGCTTTTAAGTTATTCAAGGTTGATTTTTGAAATTTGTAAACTCCTTAGGGCATTATTTAACTGAAACAATTGAAATTTAGCAGAGTGGGTGATTAGGGGAAAGAGATACCTTCAACGATTCAAGTAACACCTTCAATTCAAGAAATAATTTCAACAGTGATTCACTCAATCTGGATACTAGTTGATTCTTTTTTCTTCCCTTTATGCTCAGTCTTCATGCATCTTTTCAATCTAGAGCTAAGCACACTGTGTTAGTGCCTTTTTAGTGCCCGGATTACAAATTCAGGTTACAGAATCGGGATTTATGGTTATTTTTATTCTATTGTGAAATGAGCTAAAATGTCTTGTGATGATTCTTGAATATGCTGAGTGTGAGGCTAGGCTATGTAACAGTGAAATTAAAATCTGATGAATAGGAAAGGTTTTTTTTTTTTTTTTTTTTGAGTCCCCTTATCATTCCCTCCCTCCTCCCAAAACAAAACCAAAAACCAAAGCCACCTTTTTATAAAGTTTAATCAGAAGTGCTTTATAAACTTGGATAAAAAATCTTAATCATTTGGAGTCCTCCAAAAGATTACGTTTGCAAACATGACCTTGATGTTTTCATGTGAGCTGTTAAGTGCAAAACTTCAGATGAATTCTAGGAACATGAAACAGACATTTTAGAAGCCAGAGTCAATGCAACATCTAATGCAGCATATGAGACATGCTTAGAATTTAAAATATAATTAAGATTGACTTAACACTTTAACAGTGACTTGCAATTTATTAATTTCTTTTTCTAAAATCTCCAAATCATGCAAATAAGAATAGCCTGTCTTCTATATGTCCTTTTTTGGCAGTAAGTATTGCTTCTTAAAAATAAGGATTTCCTTTCAGAAGAAATGATATCTACATACAATTATAGTTCTCTAAAAATTATTGTAATAACCAATATTGTATAAATAAGGGTTTATTTTGCAAGGAAGTTCTGCACTTTAGGAAGGTGGTGAGATCCTTAGCTTTTATTACTTCACTGGGCATCTGGTATGCAATTTGAAACATTAGTGCATTAAAGTAGCATATGTTGTAAATGAACYGCATAGAGGTTGACTGACTGAAAGCATGTGTCAGTGGATTATTAAATATGGTACAGAATTTTGTGTATTTATGGGTTCTTTAAAATGCAATTATGTATTAAATAAGCAGAATAAGGTGGAATTTGATTATTCAAGATTGAGAGAATAGCATTTTGTTTCAGAAATAAATCCTGAATAAATTACTTATTTTCTTATAGCGATTTGAAAGCCAATTTTTCTGCATAACATGTGAGTGAAGTAAACAGTTATTGATCATTAATGTGTGCAACCTGCAAGYTGACATTCCTCCAAGCATCCTATATATGTAATGCTAATTGGTAAAATTCTGCTCTGGAAGCTGWACATCAGTAATCAAATGAATGAATAAATATTTGACCTTGCTTTCTAACAGAGTAAATTCCTTCATGCTGGCAGAGCATGTCTCTACAATATCCTACATCATGTCACAATTTTATCTTCAGTGATGGTAATTGTTGTACAGAATGATTCTTTTGTGGATTTTTTGAATTGAGATATCACTAGAATTGAATACAATTATTCATTCCCTTTGTGTCTCCTTGTTGCCCTATATCTCCAGTGCATGCTACTCGACTAGTATAGGAAACTTCAAAGTGATCCAGTGGTAGACAGGACCAGGGGTAGGTTGGTACGCATGGAAATGGTTTGGGAACTGGGCCTTAAATAAAACAGAATTCTGTGCTTACACAAGAAAGGGGGTTTATTTAAGCTCAGTTTAGCCCACAGTGACTGTTTGTATTGATGAGGACACTGTAGGCCTCACCTGCATCTCTCAGGTTCGAGGAGATTCYATGGTCGTTTTGGTCCCAGGCTTATCTTGTTAGTTTTCTAATAACTGTCCCAGATAATGTCAATTGTGATGCCTTCCTACTTTCATGGAGATCCTAAATTCTCAGCAGTGGTAGATCACTAGAATTTCCATGAGTGTGAGCACCTTTTTATATGCATCAGAATTATGTTATTTTTTTCATAGACAGAA